ACCAAAGATGCTCTCTTTTACTAAACTCAAATGAAAAGAGAGGCGAGCTTGAAAAATGTGTTTTTCTGCAAACAGCTGCAAGAGCACACAGACTCTCCAACACAAGTAAAAATGTAACTTAATATCCAACATATCCAACTTTGCAGAGGTAAGGACGTTTTAGAAGTGCATTCGATCTGATTAGGTCATCATCATTACAAAACTGCTGTATAACACACTCCACAGCTAAAGCTTGGCGTAATGTCAGTGCTGGAGAGGCAGCAAAATAAGTCTAGCCTGGCCACCTACCTGCAGCCTGTCGGCACTTTGACACATGCTAGCTGTGCAACAGCATCATTAGCAGTAGAATTGATGGTCATCCTAAAATAAGAGCTAATTTCACTCCACAGGACTCGATATTTGAAGCTGCTGCCAAGAGCCTGATGATGCTGATCTAAATCTCATGGATTTGTGTCCAAAAACCCCAAAAATAGTACAAAACAAGCTTTCTGTTCCAGAGAGCATGTCTCCCTATAGGGCATTTCTACGTATAATAACACAGGATTTAGGTAGTTTGGTTGGCCAAAAGTCCAAGAAATTGCTTGTGTTTAAGGACTTTGAAAGCTGCGTAGTAAAGGTTTAGGTTTAATGATCTCTAAAGACAGCTGTGAGCCAGTCGTTGTAACTCAATACTCTGTGTGATTTAGGTAACAACCTTTTGGAGCCGGAGTTAATTGGGGAAGTAAGCAAACTAAAGGATGGCTGGGATGAAAGTGAATTTAATGCATTTGGTCCAGAAGTCTAGACAAGACGATGGTGAATAGATGAAAGAGAGAGTAAATAATAATTCCACACCATGTGTGAGGTGTGGCTAACATCAAAGCATGCTAAGATTCATGGCGGATGGTAAGGTCATCCTTGAACTATGATAATGTGCCCAAAGGAATTCATTCCCAGAAGATAGGAGAAAATCGATCTGATGTTTTATTGAGTTCTATTGATCCGACATTGATATCTGCCTACAGTATGTGAACAGGAGCAGTTTGAAGACTCCCATATTATTCACTTTCATTTCACATTATTCTAGTTTTTCCACCCTCTTTTGATACCAGATGTTGTGGTTATATTTTCTTAGTCCTTAGGGTGAACAGTTTAAACCACAACCGCTCCATCTCCCTGAACTAAATCCAAGTCATTGACGTGTGTGGAATTCACACTATTCTGCTTGTGCATGTGTGCATGTGTCTGTCTGTGTGTGTGTGTATACGTTTGTGTGAACTTAAGGGTGTGTGCACAAATGACTGGCAGAGCACATGAGGCATATATAAGGCTTAGATGTTTTTCATTCCATAATGATAGGATCCCACTGCAGCCGTCTCATGGCGCTGTCAGCCTCTGTGCTAGCCAGAACATGTATCAGCACGGAGAGTTGGAGAGAGAGAAAGGTGGATGCCAATCACTGTAGAGGCTTTCCCCTCAGGCGGTTAATGACATTGTGATATTCCTCCAGCACCTTAGTCACGATCTTACCTAGTATTGATGTGGCATTGATGACTTAGCACATCAGCACTGATCTGCTCACTTTTGATGATATGTGAGGATCATTACTGTGTGTATTTTTCTCTGAATGTTTCCTTTAAATTCATTACCTTTCTACTTTAAAGTGGACCTATCATGCTATATTTGAAACATATACTGTAGTGCCATACCTATATAAAGTATATAAATATATATATTTTTTCAAAATACCAAACAGATCCTGCATTTTAGCCATGCCTCATTTCACTCTATTTGCTCTTTCCAGCCCTGTTTTTGCAGGGGGCTGATTCTGTGAGCTGCAACTGACCACGCCCCCCTGCAGGAGAGGGGAGTTGGCAGTTACTTTGGCATTAGGGCAGGGATATCTAGATACTTTCCAAGGTTTGACATAATGAATTGTGCTACTTTTAAAGCAAGCAACGATGTTTTCAAATCTGTAATAAAAAAACTCCTCAAAAACACTATCGAAGCAGTTCCTGCCGTTGCTAGGTTAGTTCAAACAGTAACAACGGACTATTTTTCTTAGCGGATGCATGTCAATTTAAATCAATCCATACAACTATTTTTTAAATCAATAAAATTATTTTCTAAATTCATAAAAGCATTTCAATTAATATTGGGAGTCATGTCGTTACTTTGTTGAGAATGTGGCCATGTAATAAGTGGGATAATGTGCACATTGCATAATGTGCCTTCATGCCGATCTAGATCCCTCCGCTTCGCGTCGGGCTCCTGATCAGCCTGCCGGTGTTCTTTTCCCCATAATGACCGCGTTTCTGCACATTATCCCTTACATATGATTATATAGAGTCATTATTCATTTGTGTTAAAGCAGGAGGCGCAAACGCTTGCCTCGGGGAGGGAGAAAAAGAGCCACAGCGGAGAATAAACAGAAGGGCAACCATAGCAACCATGCAAGGGAAGTCTTCTTCGCTGCTTTTGTGTCAGACTACAGCGCCACTTACAGGCCTGGCATATGTACTACAGCGTCTCCAGCGCTTTCGAGCAGCAATGGCCGGCCGTGGCCCAACCTCTCATTCCCCTGATAGGTGGAGAATTGACCAATAGCCGTAGCACCACCGTCCTGATGTCAGGACAGTGTTCAAATCTGGATCAGTCTGTATCAGATCCGTTGCAGCCCCTTTTTTTAGAGATTTGGGTATGGAGGAAAAGAGAGAGGGTTGTGTTTTCTGACACTTGGTGAGTTCCCTGGAACACCGGGGACACATATTCATGTATAAAAGACGTACAAAATTGCATTTTGCATGATAGGTCCCCTTTAACTAATATTACTTCTCACTCTGAGAAGTGTGTTTTTATTGTTATTAGTTATTGTAAGACATTTGCAGAAAGTTGCTTATCACAATACTTAAAACCCCCTCTTACAGATGTGTGTGATGGCCCAGACTTGTCAACTCTCATAACGGACTCACAGCTCTGTATTTATGTATGATTTATTGACCATCTAAATTCCACACCTATACTCAACCGTGACTAACAGGCTTATGGGGAATCATCACCTTCTGTTGCTGTAGAGATCAAAGAAACTGTGAGAAAAAACGAATGTTTACTCAGGAGTCTTTATCTACAAAGATAAAACCCCCATTATTGTCCCAGAGATACACAGCAATCTGTCGTCATACCAATGCATGCACATCCATATCACACACTCCGCATGCACGTAAACATGCAAACACGTTTCCCTTTTCTCTCTGTCAGACTAGCCTCATCCATTCCCCAACCGAAAAAACCCCACCTCCATCTCCCTGCCACTATTGCATGAGAAAGCCACATTATGGATTCTCAGCCCGCATGGCAGAGGAATCAAAATAAACTACAGAGAGGCTCCTCCGTCATTAACAGTGTTAACTCTACACCAACTTCTCAAAGTCAGAACAGATGTGAGATCAAACGCTGCATGGTGACTTATTATTTGGCCCTTTAACAATAATACTCGCTGAGAGTTCATTATATATAAATGATAAACTGTGGGCTGTTTGACTCACTCCAGCTGACAATACTATGTATTCTTTTTACACCACATTTTCCGTGTTTGTGCATTTTTGGTTGTATTATTATTTAAAATAAATTGCTCATTAATATATGAACATGTGCTACCATCTAGGCTTCCATTAAATATGCTAAACATTGAGAGTAGAATTGCTGTTCAGTTAAACCTGCACTGAAGGCACAGACAGGGAATGATAATTTTGTTCAGAGCTGCATCGACTCTCCCTGACAGTTTATCACACTATACTGCATCTCCAAAATATTGTCTTCTGGAGATTTGGGCAAACATAGCAATTTTGTGCCAAAGTCAATACAAGTAACACACATTAGAGTATTTCTTACCGTTGTGGGAAAGCCGTATTCTTGGGTAGATGCTTTGGGCAGTGTGAGCCGTGCCCAGCAGAACAAGATACAGCAGCATCATTGTGAAATACACAGTCCTTATGCACTCTGCCATCCTCTTTAATACACACACTCCACGTTTGTCTACACAGGTATCCTGCAAGTCCAATAAACACGGACAGTAAAGTCCATGAAAAGAAAATAAGTCTTCACTGCAAGTTCCTGCAAACAGGTTTTATTAGCAGAAAGCAATCCAACAAAAGTCTACTTGGAGGTAACACTCCATTATCTGAAGATCACCACAGTGTGGATCAACTAGATATATCTCTGCAGCTTCTACACAGTCTCTGCTTTCCCCTATAGCAGTGTGATGAGAGCTGCATCCACCCACTACCTCTGTGGACAGGATAGTGCTCGGGTTGTTATCTTTCTTTTAGTCTTAGTAACCACAGCGAAGAGAGGTCCAGTTGCTACATTCACGCCGCAGTGCCCACTGCTCTCTGTCCATATGTCAGTCCGTCTGTTTGTTTGTCTGTCTTTATGCCCAGTTTAAATCCAGTCTTCCTTATCTGTTGATAAAAAAAAAAACCTCAAGTCTGTGAATCCCACAGAGGTGTGTGAGCTGATTTTTAAAAACTCAATGCATTTGTGTGTCCCAGCAGGCAGGCAGGCAGGCAGGCAGGCAGGGCTGGAGCTGCTTTACTGTATCCTCAGGCTGCGTTCCTCCTTGTGGGTCCACTAGAGCCAGTCATGCTTTGGACGCTAGCCCAGGAAAAGGCAGAGTGGGAGAGGGGAGGAGTAGGGGAGCCTCGTGCCTGGCGTGCAGTCCCTCTGCACTGGGGAGGAAAGTGAAGCTCTCCTAACTCTGCTCACACTTCCACGGTCAGGGAGGATCCAAACCTCAGTGAGTCAGTTAAGATGGTTTCTACCACAGCTACTGATCTGAGCAGAGGCCACCTGCCCAGTGTGGTGTGTCTGAGGAAAAGCCTGTGTGTGAGTGTGTGGTTGGTAATGAGGGGAGTGTGTATCAGCTGCAAGTTGCCTGCTCCTTCTTTCTAGATTGTCTTGAGATCTCGCTCTCCCTCCCAGGCAGCTGGATTAAGTGTGCTGTGTCTCCCAGGCAGGCTCAGTTAGACTCACCCCAGCTCTCCTCTGAGAGAAGTACTGCCTCTCATGTCACTCTACAGACCACCCCTTGCTTCTCCACTCCTCGTTCCCTCCTCCTTCAGCACTTTCTTTTTGCTCCTGCCTCCACTGCATTAACATAGACCTGAGCCAAGATTTTCAGCCTCTTTATTCTGGCTCTTCTTTCATTTTCAATTATTGCTGTCTTTGTGTTTGTTTCCATGTGAATAGTCATTATCACTGTTACCATGGATTTTCAGTACAAGGTTTCTTTCATGCCCTGCTCATTTAATCTCTGCTTCTGTTTATCTACCAACCTCCCACAATCTTTACTTCTGTGAAACCTAGTAATTAAATTGTAATGTATCATTTCATGCTTGGATTTTTTACACTTTTGCCTGTGTGTTTCTGCTACTGTATGTTGTTACTGATTGTGTGGTTCTGTGTGAGTACAGGTATTCAGTTATCATATATATACTGTGTATAAATATTGAACTCATTAGTCTGCTGTTGTGTCCGTGTAGTCTTTTGTTTTGTCTCACGGTCCACAGCTTTCTGTATATGATTAGCAACCACACACTCAAAAAGAAAGAAATAGACAAGATGTGACTGGAGTCATTATTGAATTTTGCACATATCCCACAGGAAAATCCCACAGGCGTCCAGTTACTTGAGTAGAGCGCTTTCTCTCTTTAAAGCCCTCTGTAATACATCTGTTTCTCAATGTCTCTTTCGCTTTGTCTCTTTCGGATTAGCTGTGTGGTGACACCGACGTTAAGTCATGCTGATCCCTAACATAGAAACATTCCATCAGTCTGAAAAAGATACATTTCCTTTCTCAAATATGTCTGATTTAATTTGTGGTAAAATTGTTTCTTATTTTGCAAGACAAGAATTTAACAAGAACACTTCCCGGTGGTAATCCTCACTCATAATTTAAATCCACATTGATTAACGGCAAATGTAAAAATGCACCAAAACCAAAGCTTCATGCAGCATTATGTATTTATTTCTGAAAAAATAGAATGAAAAGGGGGAGGGAGATTTAGGCACAGTGTGAATGTGAGTGTGAATATATACCCATCAAAAAATGGCCAGCCTTTGAATTAAGCCACACACAGTAATGCCAAGTTGGAAATGACTCCATTAGGCTGTAGCAGCTGCACCCTCACTCCCTTGCACCACCCTGAGATCTGATGACTTCAACTCCCACGTTGCACCTGTTCCCCGCCATAACAGAAGGACTTTGTGTTTGAGAAGGTCTCGTAACATACACTATATCTGTTATTCCTTGGCCTGGTTCAATTATAGACTCTCATCTGTTGTTGAGGGTTAGACAACTGTTCAACGTCAGCTTCAGATGGAGCTGACACTATCTGGCTGACTGTGACACACAATTTCATCAGTTCAAACCTAATAGCATATTTGAGCCTTGCATCCTGTTGAAAGGTGCGCCGGAAGATGTTCATATCCGATCTCTTAAGCCCTTGCCTCAGATTGATAGCCATTTAAGGAGGCTAATGCACATCCACCAGTTGGCACAGCTTCCACTGACTCACATTGGCCCCACAGTGACTGAATGGGTCTCTCCTTCCTTCACCCAATCTAATAGCAGTAATCAGTCAGAAATCTGCCTCAGACCAGAAACATCAACAGCTCAGTCCCCCACCTCCCGAATCAGTTTAAACCATCCCTCTGTCCTCGCTGCCCTCCCCTTTTCTTGATTTGTGTTAAACTTTCTGCCCCTTGATGTTGCCATTAGTATGATTCTGACAGTGCTAGCAGCTTGTACCAAAAGCCTTGCTATGCAGCACTCCTACACAGCAGCCACACACCTACTTTCTTTCAACCTCCATTGAAATTCTGTCCCCTCATGTGCGTCCCTGGGATTCCAACAATACCTAGAATTTGTATTCAGCATGTACTGCACTGCGGATTTATTTGCACTGCACTACCTGAGCTCTGTGAACTCTGTCAACTTCTTAAGTTGCAACTTCAAGGTCACAGAATCTAACCTGCACCCTGTCACATCACTAAATGCAATCTTCCTTTAGCTGCTGTTTTAGAAAGCCGGTGTATGTGAAAATACTTTTTGATTGAGTGCTGATGTCTGGTGTTTGTTTGAATAGGCCATGTCCAAACGTCTGGCGGCTCCCCTTTCATGCTCTCTGAACACAGAAAATATTTTCATTCATGTTAATGCTGTGTCAATATCCACCCCTGTTCAACAGAAGCCCCCCTCACCTCCTGTTTTGACCCGTAGAGACAGACACTCCTCCTGCCCTCCACCCTCCTAACATACACAGTGCTTATGTCAATGCAAGTTTTTAACGCTGCAGAGTTACAGTGTAAGAGAGCAAGAAAGGGAAAATAAAGACATCAAAAGCCAGATAGACTCAAGTGGGTGAAGGTTAGTATGTGAGTATGTGTAGGTGCATTTATGCATGAAACTGTTTTTATGTTAGTGAGTGTCTGCCACTGATCACCTGCTGAGCTCCCCTCTGCTAAAGGGAGGTTACGTCCCTGGTCTCCCACGGCAACAGAAGCAGCAGTCTGAGGATCGTGTGTTTCAGAGCCACTAGATACTCAGACCGTTTACACAGGTGGCTATCATATGGCCAGGGAAGTTTGTCCCCACGGCACATACTGACCACAGAGACATCAGTCAGAATTCTAAAGCGGATCTTGTTTCCTTGCCATACATCAGCCAGCACAATATTTGATATCACTTGACTGTCTACACCAATGTTTATCGTGTTTGTGTGGTTTGTAAATTCTGTATTCTAGAGAGCTCATGTTGCATTGTGTGTGATACCATGCAGCGAGAGGGACTCACTGTACGCCACAAACGAACAAATTAAGTGTGGGCCGCCTCCACTGAGAGGCCAGGTGTGTTATGTTTGGCTTAGCTGTGTCAGCTGAGTGCGAACATTGAGTATAAAACCCACCGTGCACACCTTCATGCATATGAAATCATACGTGTAACCACTTTTAACATATGTTAAAGAGAAGTAGAAAGAGGTCTGTATGTATTCTGTTACATTCCATTATTTCCCCACATCTCCCCCACTGAGTGCCGCTAACCCACAGGTAACAGGTAAGTTTGCATGAGTGTCCATGGCAACAAAATGTGGTAAATATATTTTCTATGCCAAATATAATACCAGAAAGCTCAATGTATCATCCAAGCTCAGGTGGTCACTAAACCCCTATCAAAGACGCTATAAGGCCAGCATTCGGTTTTCTTCGCTTCCTGTGATTCAGCTCTTAGGGCATATATCTTAGGCAGTAATGGGAAACACAGCCCAGGCCAGTGTTATGCAGTCACAGATGGTGAAGAGGAGGAATGGTTAATGCCTCTGGAGTGATATGTGGAAGTGACCATCTGGTCTCATGTGTATTCGCATCCATCATCATGGTAACAGGTGTTTGCTCTTTCAGGTGAATTTTGTCATGTTTTTGTTCATGAGCACGGGATGAAAAGCTCATGTACATGTGGAAGTACCCATTTATATGTGTGTACACTGTTGTCCGTAATGCATAGTGACCTAAGTGTGTTTAGTTTTAAGGTTGAAAAACCAGGCTTGAAAATCCATCTTGATACTCTAGTTGTTGTGCTCTGATGGCTGTTAGCAGTAAAAATAAATATAAGTATAATAATAATGGTGGGTGAAAGGAATAGACTAAACATCGGCCTCAACATGTACTTATGCCAATTGTTTCTAGCTGACTGGTTTGGGATGTATTCCCACAGAGAAATGACTGACACATTTAATTTAAGACAAGGGTACAGATGTGTGGAAAACAGCAGAGTTTTTTTTATTGGGAAAAAACAGAGTTGTACATTGCATCAATTCAGACAACATTTGAGAAAACCTCTCATGAAATAGACCAAACTGGCAGTACAACTTTGCTTTGTGTGTCTGCGGGATGTCATGTTATACCTTGCCCTTCGGTGTGTATGAGTGTTTATCCGTACCTCTCATTGTTTATGAAATATGAATAGCGACACGTAAATTGAATCAGAGCGCTCCCATCCTGCTCCAGGGCATGACCACCGTGTGCTGCTGCAACAAGGGGAATATTGTGGCCCTTCCTCCCTGCCTCCATTTTCGGACAATCTGCTTTGAAGTGGCTCAGAAGCAGTATGGTTTCCTCCAAATCCCGTGTGGATTGATTGTCTGTGACCAATTAAGGCCAGCTCCTTTCTAAATCCTGACATGAATTGCTCAACCAATCTGACAAATAAACATTCAGCCAAATAAAAAAACATCCCCTGTTTGATGTATGACATAAATTGTAAAAACAATTAGTTTAATTGAGGTCAAATGCTTGCAAAAAGTACTTGCAGTATCCAGATCCATGAATTAAGAGAGTGAGTCATACTTTGGGAGTATCTGTTAGTTAGGCTCGCTGAGTAAATTATGGGCTAGTGTGTTGTTTCCTGCATTTCGTCCTCCTACAAATACCAGACACGCTTCACATCAACACCTTGTCCTTTTCTGAACTCAGACCTTATTATCCAGAGGACAGAGTGAGACAGCCTTTCAATACTATCTACATTTCAATGTTGCATCCATTGCTTACACACTGACATGCAGTATGTGTTTGTCATTGTCAAACATGGGTAAGAATGTGAGTGGGAAGATGAGAATTGTGCGGAAGGTATCAGGGGCTAATGTTTGTTACAGATGTGCGGTTCATTCTGGCAGAACTATCAGCTAACCTTATAACCTACACTATATCACGATGACTGCTTTAAATGGCACTATCAGTGACCTGTGTCACAATCTCCTGTTAATCCATCTGCAGATGTCACTTAGTTTACATTTCTTCTCAACTCTGATTAATAACCTTTGGCAATCATTTAGATCACCATGAGACATATTCCAGAGAAACACACGCCTGCTGATATACTGTATGTTCAGACATGTTTATGCACACATGTACACACAAGAATGTGATGGGCAGTACCTTAACCTCGAAAAATGTAGACTTTTTAGTT